GTACAACAAATGCACACATGATTAAGCACACAGTGTGATCTTCCACATACACACTCATCACCATGCTCACCTTACACACACATTCTCCAACTGTTTGTCTCTGTCTTCTGTTTATTGCCTTGCTGTCCACCTCACATGGATTTTCACACCTCACACTTAACTCATGCTGATCGCAGCCAGCGTTCCAGGCGGGCATGTGAACTGTAGCCAAGACTCATAGGTACTACCGGCTCTATCAGCAATCATGAGCTGCACGCCAGTTGACAAGGAGTTTAATGGCTCTCAGCACATAGCACTTCCCCTGAATCCAGGCAGCTTTGTTTCAGCTGAGCTGAGATTAGTGGTGTCTTGATCCTGCTAGATGATCTGTCTTTATCTGTTGTGCCGTGAATGAGCATTGGGCAAAGCTGTTTCACTTCTTTCTGACAAATCCAATTCCATATCTTTGCCTCTGTTTGAGTGTGAGTAGCAGTGCTATAGAAGGATAATGCTGGAATAAGGACTAATACTGCTCTTTTTAACAGCACCCTCTTCTCCCAGCACTCTCCTTTTGACCCTGTGCCTCATGTCTGGTTGTTCCAGTGTCACTCCAACTCACTATTTCATTTGCACTGGTCAGGCTCCTGGCATCCAAAAATTGTGCTGCACTCATTTGTACACATGAAAAGTGACAGAAATAGTGAAAACAGCTTGAGAGAAAAATGCAATCACTGTGTAAAGCCCCGCAGCTCTGAGAATGGAATGGAATGGGGTTCCAGACACTGTTGGACACTTTGACAGTCATTTTGGTCAAAGTATAATGATGCCTAAACCCCTGAAATGTTTACCTTGGTGTTACCCGAAGATTAATTGGCAGCAAAATGATATAGGAGCTGGATTTTCTGTATCTATATCTACACTACAGTGATGTAATTTTTGTAGGGTAGTTTTAATGGCCACCTCAGTATGGAGGAATTGTAGTGTGACATCAGCAGCCAAGCAGCTAAGTTTAACAAATAGAACAATGGATCCCAGTGCCACTTCTGACACTGAAGTCTAAAAGACATATTCATATTCATGACATGGCAAATCCAAATCCTTTCAATTCTACGAAGTATATTAGTCAGCATGACACTGATACTAACAGAAACTAGAACAACAAACATAAACCATGGACATTGTGCTGAAGGGCTGTAGTTTTCTATTCTGTCACTGTTCTTTGACATTCATTAACCCTGTCCTCACTCATGTTTCCTTGTGCTGCGTTTGCTCCTCACTGGGGACTGTTCTGCAGCTATAGAAGCTGTGGAAGCTCAAGTGAAAACAACGCAGTGAAAGTAATGGTAATTTTATTTAAATGAATATCAGTTATAAATTTTTTATGTTTACATGCCCGGTGGACTTAGCGTCGGTGTTATGCCTCCACCGACCAGTAAAATTTACAGGAATGGAACAGGCGTAAGG